TGTTTAGTGAGGTTGTGGGGAGTGCAGTGGTTGGAGAAGACAAGATCAAGAATATTACCGTTGGAGTGGGTGGTGGATTGTATGCACTGTGCAAGTGGAAAGGAGGAGGTTAAGTGGAGGAGATGGGATGTGGCCGGGTTTTTCGAGGTTGACAGGGATGTTGAAATCCCCAAGAATGATGGTGGGTAGCTCAGAGGAGAGGAAGAAGGGTAGCCAGGAGGAAAAGTCATCCAGGAAGCGGGGTATGGATCCAGGAGGCCGGTATATCACAGCAATCTTCAGGGGGGTTGGGGAGAATAGTCTGATGCAGTGGGCCTCGAAGGAGGAGAAGGATAGGGAGGGGGGGTTTGGGAGGACTCGGAAGGTGCTCTGCGGTGACAGGAGCAGACCAACCCCACCACCTTTACGACCGTTAGGTCTGGGTGAGTGGGTCCAGGTGAGACCTCCATAGGAGAGTGCAGCAGGGGAGGTAGAGTCAGTGGGCTGGATCCAGGTTTCCGTGATCGCTAGGAGGTTGAGGAAGCGGGAAACAAAGAGGTCGTGGATGGCACATGAAAACGGGGGGGAGATTTTAGGGAGCAGGGGGACAGATACTAGGGTTGCGGGGGTTGCGGTAGGACGTGGAGGCGGGAGGGTGTTGTGCGGGTGAGGGAGGTGGTGGAGGGCCAGGATTCGGGGAGATGTTCCCAGCGGCTAGGAGGAGGAGAAGGGTGAGAAAGGTGGCATGGGAGCGGGATGTGCAGGAGCGTGATAAACTACTAGTGTGGAGGTGTTGGGGTCAGTGGGAGAGTGGAGTGATAGGAGGAGGTGGTGGGTGCCATAGAGGGGTGAAGGAAGCAGTGAGGACACAATATACAAATGTTTAGGAGGAGCAGAGGGATATAGTGAATGGATTTTGGGAACAGAGGAGAGGAAAATGAGAAGGAGGAGTAGAAGAGGCATTTTGGGGGGGTGATGAGAGCAGTAGTAGGGAGATGATAGCAATGAGGGGGAGATGTACAAGTTTTGGGGTGGAGCAGAGGGGTAAAGAAATGAGATTTGGGAACAGAGGATAGTAATATGAAGAGGAGAAGAGGGGCGTATTATATAAAGGTACACGGAGTGGGACTCAGGTATGTAAGAGAGGTTTCCCAGGGTGATTGCTTGCAGTCTGTCCAGCATGCAGTAGAGTTTCTTGCTGTTGTAGTGTCTTCCTGCTGCTTAAGTTCTCCTGCTTTAGTTCAACTGCTGTGTTTAACTGCATCGCACTCTTTCGAAGCCGCACTCAATCTGAAGCAGCACCCCCATCAGAGACTGTGCCCCCCATCAGAGATGAACCAGCCCTGGATCAGTAAAGAATACAAAACCCCATTTCAGCTAATGTTACCAACTAAACTTTTTATTGTCACCTTTTACCATTGACAGCTCCTGCCACATCTACTAGACTGCCACCATGACCAGATCCTGCAACCTCTGTTGGCCTGTCATTATTACTAGCTCCTGCCACCTTACTTGCCTGTCACTGCCACCAATACAAGCTCCAAACCTCTGCTGGACTGGCAATAATCGCAGCTCCTACCACTGCTGCTGACCTGCCATTATTACTGAATCCTGCCGTCATTAGCTTCAGCTATGTTTGCTGGACTGCTTGCATTACCAGTCTATACCACCACCCTGGACCAGTTCTGGTACTCCAGCAATGCAAAGATGCCACACAAAGTGGGCCTCACCTGCAAATTTTGCAGAGTTTGCTGCATAATAAGTTCTATATTTTCATCCTGTTCCACCAGTATGACACTGTAAAGGTTCCACATGTCAGCAGGTACTTCCAAAGGGTTCATGTTTTTTTTTTTTCTATGCCGACTCAAGTTCCTCAGTTATCTGGGTCAAGTCTACTGTCTTTCTTGTGAAAATGTTGTACAATGTTGTGTACGCTGTGTCCTCAGGATGACCTGCTAGGTGGATGGATTCAGGGTTAAGGGGTTAACTTGCCTGACAAGTTTTCCTGACAAAACTCTAAGAGCCAACACCCTCTACAGGTCATCCCATATCCAAAGGGGTTCTTCTATGGCCTCAGACCGCATTCACATCTGAATGTTTTATAGCTGGAAGCTCCAACCCCTTTGAGGAGAAAAAAAATCAATTATTCTTAATGGAGATGGTTCCAATCTCCACTCCAAGTTGCCTGAAGCCAAGCTCCTGAAGCTCAAACAAATTCTGGAGGTTTTTTGTAGCTCATATTGAGCAGACTTACATGGTTTTGGTGCGTTTTTATTCCCCTTGAAATTAATAGAAACGCGCTAGTAAATAACATATGAATAAATAAATGTAAAATAAATAAAATAATTACAAAAATAAATACAAAACCTCATAGATAAATAATAAATAACTAAATAAATAATATGTAATAATAAATAAATAATTACCCCCCAACCTTAACCCTCTAACCCTAAAAAAAAATATGAAATACATTATTAATATATTATAAAAATCAGCGCATCCAAGCCTTACATCACCAAGTGCAATGCAAAGCGTCAGATTCAGTGGTGTAAAGCATGCTGCCACTGGACTCTAGAGCAGTGGAGACGTGTTCTCTGTTCAATCATGCTTCTCTGTCTAGCAATACGATGGACATGTATGGGTTTGGCAGTTGCCAGGAGAATGGTACTTGCCTGACTGCATTGTGCCAAGTGTAAAGTTTGGTGGAGGGGGGGTTATGGTGTTTGGTTGTTTTTCCAGAGGTTGGGCTTGTCCCCCTAGTTCCAGTGAAGGGAACTCCTAAGATGTCAGCATACCAAGACATTTTGGACAATTTGTGGGAGCAATTTGGGGATGGCCCCTTCTAATTGACTGCATTCCAGTGCACAAAGCAAGGTCCATAAAGACATGGAGGAGCCAGTTTGGGGAGGAAGAACTTGACTGGCCTGCACAGAGTCCTGACCTCAACCTGATAGAACACCTTTGGGATGAATTAAAGCGGAGACTGCGATCCAGGCCTTCTTGTCCGACATTAGTGCCTGACCTCAAAAATGTGCTTCTGGAAGAATGGTCCAACCTTCCCATAAACACCCTCCTAAACCTTGTGGACAGCCAACCCAGAAGAGTTGAAGCTGTTATAGCTGCAATGGGTGGGGCCAACTCAATATTGAATCCTATGGACTAAGACTGGGATGCCATTAAAGGTCATGCATGTGTAAAGGCAGTCAGCCCAATAATTTTGGCAATATAGTATATATATATATATATATATATACACACATATACATACATACATAAACACATACACATACACATACACACACACATATACTGAAACTCCCTGTATCCACAAACAATGCCAGGCAGGTTTAAAAGGAGCCAGAGCAACAAAGGAGAATTGTATCCAGGAGCATCTTGAAGAGGACTAGAAGGAGCATCCATGCTAATCCGCTGAACGGTATTGCCCTATTGGGCACAGGGCACTGCTGTCCCCAGTGCCGGTTCACAGAGCTCTGTAGTCTGGGCCTTGTTTAACACATCTGCTGCTGGCAAAACTGGTGTGGCCTACCTTTAGCATATCAGCAGTATTAAAACTACCATCCAATTTGGTACCACAAGCATGAGGAGATGCATAAATCTGCACCACAATTCTCCATGGGAGCAACTCCTCAATGATACCAGTCTGCAGCAAAAGGCCCACACTCCTGCTCCTCACATTTCATCTTTTTCCCCTCTACAAGATTCTCTCGATGCACTAACTTTACCATCTGCAGCCTCTAGAGGTTTCAGAAGCTTATTAAGTGGAGAAGAAGGTCAGCACTGGGTGTCAGACCCTGGGTCCGAACCTGGACCTTCTGCAGCGAGTGGTAATGTTTCTTCTTGCTGAGCCACCTGGAATGCTGGACAGCTCCCTTGACAGTTATTTGGATGATCCTGCCTTGACCTTGTTTGTCATGAACCTTGAACCCTTTGCTCCTTCCATGAACTTCCTGATATAAGGAGTGTCTCTGCACTTCCTGTTTGCCAGATTATTGTGCTCTCCATCCAGTATCTTGCTCCTTGTCATCTCTGTTATTATCCATTTTTTCTACCACTCGTTATTGACCCTTGGCTTGTTCTCAACTACGCTTCTGCCTGATCCCAACCTGCGACTGCTCATTACCGACCTTGGCTTGTTTTTGACTACGCTTCTGCCTTATCCCAACCTGTGACTGCTCATTACTGACCTTTGCTTGTTCTTGACTAAACTTCTGCCTGATCTCAACCTGTGACTGCTCATTGCTGACCTTGGCTTGTTCTTCGACTATGCTTCTGCCTGATCCCAACCTGCGACTGCGCACTACCGTCCTTGGCTTGTTCCTCGACTACTCTTCTGCCTGATCCCAACCTACGACTGCTCATTACCGACCTTGGCTTGTTCCTCAACTACGCTTCTGCCTGATCCCAACCTGTGACTGCTCATTACCGACCTTGGCTTGTTCATCGATTACGCTTCTGCCTGATCCCAACCTGTGACTGCTCATTACCGACCTTGGCTTGTTCATCGATTACGCTTCTGCCTGATCCCAACCTACGACTGCTCATTACCGACCTTGGCTTGTTCCTCAACTACGCTTCTGCCTGATCCCAACCTACGACTGCTCATTACCGACCTTGGCTTGTTCCTCAACTACGCTTCTGCCTGATCCCAACCTACGACTGCTCATTACCGACCTTGGCTTGTTCCTCAACTACGCTTCTGCCTGATCCCAACCTGTGACTGCTCATTACCGACCTTGGCTTGTTCCTCGATTACGCTTCTGCCTGATCCCAACCTACGACTGCTCATTATCGACCTTGGCTTGTTCATCGATTACGCTTCTGCCTGATCCCAACCTACGACTGCTCATTATCGACCTTGGCTTGTTCCTTGACTAAGCTTCTGCCTGATCCCAACCTGTGACTGCTCATTACCGACCTTGGCTTGTTCCTTGACTATGTTTCTGCCTGATCCCAACCTGTGACTGCTCATTACCGACCTTGGCTTGTTCCTTGACTAAGCTTCTGCCTGATCCCAACCTGTGACTGCTCATTACCGACCTTGGCTTGTTCCTTGACTATGCTTCTGCCTGATCCCAACCTGTGAATGCTCATTACCGACCTTGGCTTGTTCCTTAACTAAGCTTCTGCCTGATCCCAACCTGTGACTGCTCATTGCTGACCTTGGCTTGTTCCTTGACTATGCTTCTGCCTGATCCCAACCTGTGACTGCTCATTACCGACCTTGGCTTGTTCCTCGGCTACGCTTCTGTCTGATATCAACCTACGACTGCTCATTACCGACCTTGGCTTGTTCCTCAACTACGCTTCTGCCTGATCCCAACCTGTGACTGCTCATTACCGACCTTGGCTTGTTCCTTGACTACGCTTCTGCCTGATCCCAACCTGTGACTGCTCATTACCGACCTTAGCTTGTTCCTCGACTACGCTTCTGCCTGATCCCAACCTGTGACTGTTCATTACCGACCTTGGCTTGTTCCTTGACTGTGCTTCTGTCTGATCCCAACCTGTGACTGCTCATTACCGACCTTGGCTTGTTCCTCAACTACGCTTCTGCCTGATCCCAACCTGTGACTGCTCATTACCGACCTTGGCTTGTTCCTCAACTACGCTTCTGCCTGATCCCAACCTGTGACTGCTCATTACCGACCTTGGCTTGTTCCTCGATTACGCTTCTGCCTGATCCCAACATGTGACTGCTCATTACTGACCTTGGCTTGTTCCTCGACTACGCTTCTGTCTGATCCCAACCTGTGACTGCTCATTACCGACCTTGGCTTGTTCTCGACTACGCTTCTGCCTGATCCCAACCTGTGACTGCTCATTACTGACCTTGGCTTGTTCCTTGGCTGCGCTTCTGTCTGATCCCAACCTACGACTGCTCATTACCGACCTTGGCTTGTTCCTCAACTACGCTTGTGCCTGATCCCAACCTGTGACTGCTTACTACCGACCTTGGCTTGTTCTTGACTACGCCTCTGCCTGATCCCAACCTGCAACTGCTCATTACCGACCTTGGCTTGTTCTTGACTATGCTTCTGCCTGATCCCAGCCTGTGACTGCTCATTATCGACCTTGGCTTGTTCTCGACTATGCTTCTGCCTGATCCCAACCTGCGACTGCGCACTACCGACCTTGGCTTGTTCCTCGACTACACTTCTGTCTGATCCGAACCTGTGACTGCTCATTACCGACCTTGGCTTGTTTCTCGACTACGCTTCTGCCTGATCCCAACCTGTGACTGCTCATTACCGACCTTGGCTTGTTCTTCGACTACACTTCTGTCTGATCCCAACCTGTGACTGCTCATTATCGACCTTGGCTTGTTCTCGACTACGCTTCTGCCTGATCCCAACCTGTGACTGCTCACTACCGATATTGGCTTATTCCTCGACTACACTTCTGTCTGATCCCAACCTGTGACCGCTCATTACCAACCTTGGCTTGTTCCTCGACTACGCTTCTGCCTGATCCCAACCTGCAACTGCTCATTACCAAACTTGGCTTGTTCCTCGACTATGCCTCTGCCTGATCCAACCTGCGATTGCTCATTACCGACCTTGGCTTGTGTACTGACCACGCTTTCGTTTGATCCTTACCTGCTTATAGACTACTCGACCTCCGCTTGCTCACCTCCTGGTGGGGTGATCCTGAGTACCACAACCTGATGCTAACACGCAGCAAAATCCATCTCCACCATCAGGAGCTCTGGTGAACACCGGTTGGTACTTAGGCTCCGCATCTCATGTAATCCCACTCCTCCTCCACGGTGACCTGCCTGTGTACCTATCCTGCTGGTTTCAGGTGAGCCTTTCCACTGCTACAGCAACTGGTCTTCGAGCCTGACCCCTGATCATGACACTGGGCTTTGCTGTGTAGGGTCAACCGCAGACATCACACAGACTCATCACAAGTCTCCAACACCCACCCCACCATCTCCAGCAGCATCCTTGACCAGGTAGGTGTCCCTCCCACAGGTACTGGAGGAATGTCCCCATTGCAGCCTAATAAACTGCTTACATACTTTACAGCTGATGTACAACATGTGTGGCTATTGTCTCTGAAAGAACACCTTCTAATTTTTAATGAAGGATAAACTCTGCTTCATCTCTCCCTCTTACATTGTGGCTTAATCAAGGCACTTATATGATCTCCAGCCGTCGCACAATATATGTAGATATTGATCCTGAAATAATACACTTTGATTCTGATTTCAAGATAAATCTGCCTTGCAAGCTATTCAGGCTGCTTATGTACTGTTCAGCTGCTGTACAATGTATTTCACTATTGTCTATTGACTCTCCCCCATTCACAGTAATCAATAAAAGAATATTTCCCATTGGAGGAGGAGGGGGCATGTCTCTGTTGGACCATCTGTACTGCTGAAAGTGATTTTAAAAAAAAAGTTGTAACTAAATCTCCAATTTTGTCTCCAAATATCACCCAAACTGCTCCTCCCATGATCTCCTACTCTCTAGCTCCCTTGTCTCCTCCCATGCTCATCTCCAGGACTTCTCCAGAGCCTCTTCCATCCTATGGAACTCTCTACCCCAACCTTACTGACTATCTCCTACTCTGTCCACTTTTAGGTGTTCCCTGAAAACTCATCTCTTCAGGGAGGCCTTCAGCAAATAACCAAATCTTCTATATCTCCCATCAGTTCATCCCTCACAGTGTCAGCAACTGTGGTAGTGAGCCCTTGTAGATCATCAGCTTGGGGCTCCCCAGGGCGTGGAGTCTAAGCCCTGGCCTGCTTCTGCACCAGATCCCCTGATGGTGAGGATGGGCTTGCAGCAAGCTGGGACCGGGTCGCGACCCCAGGCATGCCCAACTGAGGAAGAGGAGACCGCTTGCAGGAGCAGAGTACAATGGGAGGAGACAAACAGAAATCGGATAGACTAGCCGAGGTCAGGACAGGTGGAAAACAAGCACGGTCAGAGAACTAACCCGGGGTCGCTACATGAGTAGTCAATGCAGGGTACAGGAGATAGCAACACACAGGAGCTCCAACAACTAGGAAGTTGCTCATCAAAGTGGTCTAGACTGAGCATGTCTTATATAGGCAGGCAAACTAGGAGAAGGGCCAGAAAGTGATGGAAGGGAAAGAAATAAAACCCAGAAAACAGCAGACAACGCCCATAGGTGAGCACAGACAAACACACACTTGAAAGGGATCAGAAACAGCACTGCAGCAAGGAGGTAAGAACACAAACAAGAAACTGCAGGATAACTTGTGACACACAGTTATAACCTTTTCTTCCACCAGCCCCTCCCTATTAGATTGTAAGCTCCCGGGAGCAGGGCCCTCATGTATCAAAAACTGTATTGTTGCTGTATTGTCTTCCTTTATATTGTAAAGCTCTGAGCAAACTGTTGGCACTCTATAAATCCTGAATAAATTCTTTAGATTGTATGCTCCATGAACAAGGCCCTCCAATTCCTCCTGTATCAAACTGTGTTGGAATTGTACCGCCCTCCTTATGTTGTAAAGTGCTGCGTAAACTGTTGGCACTTTATACATCCTGAATACATTCTTTAGATTGTAAGCTCCATGAGCAAGGTCCTCCAATTCCTTCTGTATTGTTCTGTACTGCCCCGCCCCCTTTATGGTGTGAAGCGCTGCCTAAACTGTTGGCCCTCTATAAATCCTGAATAAATTCTTTATATTGTAAGCTGCATGAGCAAGGCCCTCCAATTCCTTCTGTATCAAACTGTATTGGAATTGTACCGCCCCCCCCTTATGTTGTAAAGCGCTGGGCAAACTGTTGGCGGGATATAAATCATGCATAATAATAAATCCTGTATAATAATAATAATAATAATAATAATATCATTTTAGCCCCTTGGCGCCGGCACCTCCCGACCCTTTAAGGATTCCAGAAGCCAGGAGGTGGGTGGTATTCTAGGGTCATGTGACCGCCGTGATTCGCTGTCATGGCGGTCACATGATCGGGAAAGGTCCCGATTGAAAGAGGAGATCTGGACCTTTCTGTAAGTACTGAACATGTGTGCTGGGAGCAGGTGCGGACTGACAACTCATGGGGCCCCCGGGCAATAGGGGATCATGGGGCTCCTGTGTCCTTGCCCAAACTAAAAAAAAGCCTATGAAAAAGGTACCAGGGGCATCTCATGGAGCCCCCTACGGACCCCGGGCCCTCGGGCAGTGACCGAGTTTCCAAATGGTCAGTCCACCCCCGGCTGGGAGTGCGCAGGGCGCACGCTCTCAGCTCATATTTTTTTTGGTTTTAATTTATGTTTTTAGTAGAACGCAAATGTGCAGCCTCTCGGAGTCTAGGCCCAGACACCGGGAGGCCACACATTTGCATTCGGCAAGAGGTTAATGAACTCAGACATGAAGAGGCAGCATTTATTGGCCTTTTCCTTTCCTAGGTTTCTCTTTGCATGGAAGCATTTGGACATTTAGGTGTTGATGGTGACTAAAAACTCATTTAAAATGTAGAAAGGTTTTACACTAACAACATAAAATGGCTTTCGTCTTCCATTCTTTGTATCTACACATTTCACAATCTGATGAAACTGAATATTTAGCCTGATGCAATCAAATGTTTACTTCAAGGTGACAATATTTTTTATCTTTGTTTGTAACATAAATAAATATAATTATCAGCTTTGGGAAATTGTCATTTCCCCTCCCCCCTGGGATAAATCAGTAAATCAATTGATCAGGATAGTATAAAAGAGCTGTAAAAACTCCCAAGATGTATCATTGAGGTATACCTGTGCGGGGACATGGTATATCTCAGTGATACAATACCATGAATGACAGTCATTGTTCTAGTGCATAGATTTATTTGTTCCAAGACACAGGGTAAGAAAAAATGTATTATATTTGCTCCATAAAAGTAAAACTTTAGGCATTTGTGTTACTTGTTATTAATACTATTATTATTATTTAATCATTATTTACTTTTTTCATGTGTCAAACAATCTCTGTGTCTTTAAAAATGTACAGAAAATGTGGGGATTTTATTATGTTTGTGTGCACTAAAATGAACTGAATGTATTTTTACTGAATATATAGATCTGATAAACAATTGTATTAATATCATGCAGCAAAGAAAAATTACAACTGCCAGGTTTTTATTTTAAGGGTCCTCTGTTTTATGGAAACATACAAAAAGGGATACAAAATGTCTATTTTAGCATGCGGCTTTTACATGGAAACTACAGACCTTAAAAAAAAATGACTATACATAGATTCCCTTAAAAAATAAATCATGACATGATACATACTGTATATCTCCTTTAACCTCCCTGGAGGTATTCCCAAGTTTCAGCACCACAAGCGGTAACCCCCCCGAGCTACACTCGGGAATACTCTGCAGCGTTGCTCTGGGATCCCTCAATCACTTACCTTGTCCTGCGCTCCCGCGATGTCCCTCCTGCAGTGTCCCCGGCAATGTCCTACAGCCGATGCCGGCATCCGTCTTTTGGGTTCCGTCCCCTGCGACGTCGGGACGTACGGGGGACAGAACTGGCGGGAAATTTAAAAATGTGAAAAAGTGACATTCACTAAATCCACTAAAATCACATAGTATAACATTCCTGTATCAAACCATTTCACATACATTTTGTCCCGAGTGCTTTGTCCGGCGCCCTGCCTGCATTTTTACTGTTCTTTCTGCCTGGAAACTGAGAAACGTCCATGGCGTCCAAAAAGCGTCCCTTTAGGCCAAAAGCGGTTTTAGAGCGGCTAGAGAACAGCGATAGTAAATCAGAACCACTTGCAGAATTGAGTGATAATGATTCGTGGGGGAAATTCCTCATCAGACACTGAAAACGATTCTGCGACTTTGCTCAGTGATGTGCGAACTTGGCGCTCTATTTCACATTTCAGTGTTTTTGGTTTGATTATATTATTGAATTAAATTTATTATTATATTATTATTTTTTATGATTATTTATTAAATTATAATTTATTGTTTCAAATTTTATCATACCCGGGATCAGGGGCGCACTGACCATTTGGGAAACTCGGGCACTGCCCGAGGGCCTGGGGTCAGTAGGGGGCCCCATGAGATGCCCCTGGTACCTTTTTCATAGGCTTTTTTGAGTTTGGGCCCAGTTTGGGCACAGAGGCCCAGGGGCAGACTGACCATTTGGAAACCCAGTTTGGGCCCAGGGGCCCAGGGGTGGACTGACCATTTGGAAACTCGGGCACTGCCCGAGGGCCCGGGGTCAGTAGGGGGCTCATGAGATGCCCCTGGTACCTTTTTCATAGGCTTTTTTGAGTTTGGGCCCAGTTTGGGCACTGGGGCCCAGGGGCGGACTGACCATTTGGAAACCCAGTTTGGGCACAGGGGCCCAGGGGTGGACTGACCATTTGGAAACTCGGGCACTGCCCGAGGGCCCGGGGTCAGTAGGGGGCCCCATGAGATGCCCCTGGTACCTTTTTCATAGGCTTTTTTGAGTTTGGGCCCAGTTTGGGCACAGGGGCCCAGGGGCGGACTGACCATTTGGAAACCCAGTTTGGGCACAGGGGCCCAGGGGCGGACTGACCATTTGGAAACTCGAGCACTGCCCGAGGGCCCGGGGTCAGTAGGGAGCCCCATGAGATGACATCAGCTCTCTTATACGTCTTAAGTGTAGCTCATTCGCACCTATATGCATGTATGTTCTTTGCCGTGAATCAACAAAGGCATGTACATCTTTGTTGTATGATGCTTGATGTTAGATGACATACTGGGTTAGCTGTACCTGCTGGGTGATTCTATGTACTGTATATGTCTAATACAAACTAAAGCAGTTTGGCTATGTGGTGTGCTTATTCTATACATTAACCGCTTCCCGTCTGCCCTAGAGCAGAAATAGTGCTACAGGGCGGCATGGGGGTGCAAAATCATGTGTATACCAGGGGCGGACTGACCATTTGGAAACTCGGGCACTGCCTGAGGGCCTGGGGTTAGTAGGGGGCCCCATGAGATGCCCCTGGTACCTTTTTCATAGGCTTTTTTGAGTTTGGGCAAGGACACGGGGCCCCATGATCCCATATTGCCCGGGGGCCCCATGAGTTGTCAGTCTGCCCCTGCAGGGGCCCCATGATCCGCTATTGCCCGGGTGTCCCATAAGTTGTCAGTCCGCCCCTGCCTGGGATGTTTACTAGGCTCTTCTTCAGACAGATTTCAGTGAGTTATTCCTAAAAATTACAGGCCTGCAATAAAAAAAATACATATTTCCATGCAAAAAAATGTACCGCTTTGAGCACAGAAATATGGACATAATCAGACCGCTAGGAAGGCTACAATGGCACGTTATACATATTTACAAATTAATAATAATCACATTATACATAGATATCTATTAAAATAAAAATAAAAAAATCACACATAATATCAATCATAATAATCTCATTATACCCAAAAGAAATCCTCAATATAAAAAAAATTAAAAAAAGAAACAAACAAACAAAGGGCATACGGGACTTTTCAGGCATTGAAACTGACAGCAAGAAAAATAAACTGTAACACTATTTTTTTTTTAAGTTAACTCCAATCAAAGTGGGGGAAAAAAAAAAAAAAAAAAATCGCAGGTCAGATGTATTTCTTGATCTACAGAATATCGTATATGATGTGCGATTGTCTCCTCTACAGATGGTGTATCCCGACAACTGCACAGCCATCACTGAAATTCTGATTGTTGGATTTAAACCGTATTATGGCTTCCGGGTTCCGATGTTTGTTCTCTTTCTGCTCAGCTACCTTTTGATCTGCAGCGCAAATGTAATGATCATCTATATAATTCAGAGCAGCGCCCGTCTCACGGCGCCCATGTTTTTTATAATTAAGAGCATGTGCGTCTTTGAACTACTGAGCACCACAAACATGCTTCCGGTGCTGCTCCATTATATGATTGTTGAACGGCCGACCATCACTGTAACCAACTGCATTGTACATTTGGACGTGTATGGGATTGCGGGGGACGTCGGGTGTTTTCATTATGTTTTAATGTCTTATGACCGATACTTGGCGGTTTGCCATCCATTGCGCTATTCCTCCTTTGTGAATAATGGATTCTATCTTCGGGTGGTTACTGCATGTTGGATTTTTTCAGTCGCGCTTTCAGGCGCTACATCCATTTTTTTTGAGCCAGTTGCAATTTTGTGGCCATAACACCATCTACCATTTTTTCTGTGACCTTTATCCATTGATAGACCTGGCTACCTCCGACACAACACTAATTCGTTTTGTTATTGCTGTGATCAGTGCTTTTCTGGCACTGATCTCAGCTTTGTCTGTTTTTGTATCATACATGTTTATAATTCGTGCAATCCTTAAAATTCCTTCATCCTCCGGTAGGAAGAAGACCTTCTCCACGTGTAGCTCCCACCTCATTGTGTTCTCTATGCAGAACGGTATTGGTCTTGTAGTCTATGTATTGCCTAGTCAAGCTGTACCACCTCAAGTCACTGACGCTGTGACATTCACAAATTATTTGTGGACCCCCTTAGTGAACCCCCTGATCTATTCATTTAGAAATAAGAAGTTTCAGGCAGAATTTCTCAAAAAGGTCAGGGAAATAAAAAAATAGAACATGCTGAAATCACATTTTCCTTTGATTCAAGCAGACCTATACAAAAAAAAAAAAAAAATCACACCTCAAAGTTATCAAACACATTCCCATTCTTGAATGGGTTATGTTGTCTAACACACATTAGGGTGGTAAAAATTTAGAAAGGGTCCCCTCAAATCCTTCCTAAACACACTGCGGCCAATTACTTGATTGCATGACATATTTGTGAGGGAAGTCTGTTAAAATATTAATAAACCATCTATATTTTCCTCCTTTAGGACAGAACTGCAGGGGAGGTGCCTAAAACAAGGGATTACTAGGATTGGCTCCCAGTCATGTGATCACGGTTGTAGCCAGTCCTTCCAGGTACTAGTCATTAGTAGGAGACCAAGAGCTTTCAATCATGGCTTGGTTTCTGTGTTGGGAGCTTGTGATAGAGCGATCTTTCAGCACAAACACGCATGCACATATTGTATATGTAGTGCCAAGGATTCTGTTGCTGGGAGGGATCTACTATTGAGGAAGGGGTCTTTTTGTTGACTGCTGAAGGGTCTATTGATGCTGGATGCTGGGAGGTCTATTGCTGCTGGTCAGGATTGTTTGTTGCAGGGGTAGATCTCTTGTTCCTCAGAAATATTTTGTAATGGGGGAGGTCTATTGTTGACGGGGGGAATCTGTTGTTTCTGGGGGGCCTATTCTTGCTGGGGAGGGGGTCTATTGTTGCTGACTGCTGAAGGGTTTATTGATACTGGATGCTGGGAGGTCTATTGATGCTGGCTGGGATCGTTTTGTTGTTGGGAGGGATCTACTATTGAGGAAGGGGTCTATTGTTGCTGACTGCTGAAGGGTCTATTGATGCTGGATGCTGGGAGGTCTATTTCTGCTGGCCGGGATCGTTTGTTGCTGGGGTAGATTTCTTGTTCCTCAGGAATATTTTGTAATGGGGGAGGTCTATTGTTGACAGGGGGAATCTGTTGTTTCTGGGGGGCCTATTCTTGCTGGGGAGGGAGTCTATTGTTGCTGACTGCTGAAGGGTTTATTGATACTGGATGCTGGGAGGTCTATTGCTGCTGGCTGGGATAGTTTTGTTGCTGGGAAGGATCTACTAATGAGGAAGGGGTCTATTGTTGCTGACTGCTGAAGGGTTTATTGATACTGGATGCTGGGAGGTCTATTTCTGCTGGCCGGAATCGTTTGTTGCTGGGGTAGATCTCTTTTTCCTCAGGGGTATTTTGTATGAGGGTATGGGGGAGGTATATTGTTGATGGGGGAAATCTGATGTTTCTGGGGGGTTTATTTGTTGCTGGGGAGGGGGTCTGTCACAAGTTAGCCTGCAGTTTCTTGTTTATATTCTTACCTCCTTGCTGCAGTGCTGTTCCTGATCCCTTTCACATGTGCGTTTGTCTGTGCTCACCCATGGGCGTCATCTGCTGCTCTCTGGGTTTTATTTCCTTCCCTTACATCAGTTCCTGGCCCACCTCCTTGTTTGCCTGTCTATATAGAAATGCTCAGTCTAGGCCACTTTGCTGAGCAACTTCCTAGTTGTCAGAGCTCCTGTGTGTTGCTATCGCCTGTATCCTGCATTGACTACTTGTGTACTGACCCCAGCTTTGTGCTCTGACTGCTTGTTTTCCATCCATCCTGACCTCGGATAGTCTATCGGATTTCCGTTTGTCTCCTCCATTGTAATCTGCTCCTGCGAGCGGTCTCCTCATCCTCAGCTGGGCGTACCCGGGGGCCGTGATCCGGTCCCAGCTTGCTGCAAGTCCATCCCCACTATCAGGGGATCTGGTGAAGAAGCAGGCTGGGGCTTAGACTCCACACCCTGGTAGAGAGTTCCAGAGGATGGGAGAGGCTCCGCGCCCTGGGGAGCCCCAAGTTGACTATCTACAAGGGCTCACTACCACAGGTGCTGACAGGGTCTATTGATGCTAGCTGCAGGGGATCTACAGTATTTGACTGTTTTTTATAGCTATCATTACCACATTTAATGCAAATTACTTAGCACCAAAAAATGATTCTTGGTTCTGTATTCTCTAAAACTGGTACTTGGAGGTGGGCCGAAGGTGGAACCAAGAGATGGTGCTCAGAGGTGGGAAGGAGCAGAGACAAGGGGTGACTTGGAGGGGGCGAGTAACTGCATCGATTTTATAAGAAAAAAAGCACTGGGGAGGGGGTCTATTGTTGCTGGCTGCAGGGATCTACAGTATTTAACTGTTTTTCTAGCTATCATTACCACATTCAATACAAAATTACTTAGCACCAAAAAATTATACTTGGTTCTGTATTCTCTAAAAGTGGTACTTGGAGGTGGGCCGAGGGTGGAACCAAGAGATGGTGCTCAGAGGTGGGTAGGAGCAGAAACAAGGGGTGACTTGGAAGGGGGGGGGAGTAGCTGCACCTATTCTCTGAGAAAAAAAAACCTTGGTGAGGCGACATATGTGTCAGGGTGAACAGGGTACATTTTTGTCACCCTCAGAAGTTCTATAGTAACAGTCCACTATTTTTAGTGTTTGTAGAGTTATGTTGCAATCAGAAGAGAGCATAGTCATTGATCGGTGGTCTCTCTTCATGGCAGAGTAATGTCAGCCTTGTCAGTGAGGGTATAAAGAGTACACTCTGATAGAATTAAGAGGGACAGAAAATACCTCCATTGTACCTTCAAAGAGTCAGAAATAAGGAGGGCACCTGTTGTTGATTTTGGCGAATGTCATGTCTAATATCTTCTCTAGCTGGACTCCAAACTCACACTCTTTTCTTACCCGTTTGTTGTGTTACTCCCTCAGCTCGCCTCTTGGTTTACATCGGTTGTGGGGGTAAGAAATGGCCCATCCTGCAGCTCATTGGAGAAACTAAAGAGTGCAAGTTTGGAGTTTGGCTTCAGATGGATGAAAAAGATGTCATCTGCGGGGTTTGAAATCGGTTAACTATAGGTCAGAAGAAGGGAAGACTGCAAGCTGAAAGGTTGTAGGCTCTAGTCCAGAAGGAGATCAACAGCAGGTCAAAATTTGCAGGTCCAATACACCTGTGAATGAACTTGGATGGAGTTTAGAAGCACTTATCTCCAAAAAAAGCTAAATGCCCTTGAAAGCACATAGCCTTTTCATATCTACACAAGCCCAAGAGGTCATCAGGTGTGACAAAACGTGTCAGCCAGAGCTTGCTGTGACGTCATCATGAAACCGGCCAATGTTTAGCACTTTTGCTTCATTTTGATGAGAGTGGTTTACTTTTATGAATAAAGGGGTAAATTTGAACGGTACACATTATGGGATGCTTTTTGTTTTATCCTGGATATGTCAATATCGGGATGGACATGTAATAGAAAGTCTTTGAAGAAGGTTTCTCAGAGATGAATATAGTATTTTCTACCCTCTGATAGTCACTACTAAGATCAGTGACATTAGAGATGACATCCACCAAACTCATCTCTAGCTGAACTCCTAACTCACGCCCTCTCTCTCTTTTTTTTTTTTACCCCAGTGAGCTGTAGCCTGGGTCATTCCTGTAGCCCGCCTCTTGGTTTATGTCAGTTGTGGGTAAGCAACAACCTCGCTTGCAGCTCATTGGAGAAGATAAAGAGTGTGAGTTTAGAGTTTGCTTTGAGATGAGTTTTTTTGTGGATGAGAATCTTTTTTTTTATGGTTTTTACAGTTAGTGTTTGTTAGCCTTGGAGATGATGAAATTGTTACATTTGGTTTTAGTTTGTGCCAAAACATATTTGCTCCACATCAGGGGCGGACTGACAACTCATAGGGCCCCCGGGCAATAGGGGATAATGGGGCCCCTGTGTCCTTGTCCAAACTCAAAAAATCCTATGAAAAAGGTACCAGGGGCATCTCATGGGGCCCCCTACTGACCCCGGGCCCTCGGGCAGTGCCCGAGTTTCCAAGTGGTCAGTCCGCCCCTGCTCCACATGCATATCATTTGGACTGTCAAAGAAGGAGGTCATCTGAAAGTTTTAGGGCAGTCAACTAAAGGTCAGAAGAAGGTTGACTGCAGATTAAAAGGTTGTAGGCCAGAAGGAGGTCAACTGCAGGACAAGAGTTGCAGGTCAAATGCACCTGTGAATGAACTTCGATAGAATTTAGAAGCATTTCAAACTGATCTCCAAAGCAAGCTAAATGCCCTTGAAAGCACGCAGCCTTTGCAGATCTACACAATCCCTGGTATACTAAAAAATAACCTGTCTAAAGTAACACAGTTATTATAAACTTCCACATTTTTGAGATGAGCTGGAGGGGCATCTTTTAACACAAAGGATGTAGACAAAAAGAAACATCTCTCAGGAACTAGAAAACCTACTAGTGGCACCATGGTCCCCAGGCTTGAGTGGTGTAGTTCCAATGTCCACTAGCTGCAGTCAGGGGGTCACAACGATTAGTCACCACCTTGTGCTGGTTTCTTGGAGGGCACTTAGCACCCCTCAGGAGTAGGGATCAGCTTGCATTTGTCCAAACCCAGAGCTGTCATTCATGGTCTAATGAGCTGTGCACAGGATGTTTCCAGCTTCACATATAACATTAGTAAAGTTGAGGATGCTCATTACCTCATTACCAAAATACATAGTCAATGACATTAAAGTAATATGGTCACATGGCCATATTAGATCTATAATGTCACAAGTATTCCTGCCCCTTTGTGGGAACCCCCTGCCTGCAGCTCATTGGACCAGGAATGAAAGGTGGCTTCTAAGATTGGGCTCAAACCTGGTTCTAAACAAAAGCCAGTTCATCCCCACTCAGGAGTCCAACATTGCCATAGCCGGTTATTGTGCTGATGTATGTACTGAACCTTTTACTCCCTGAACCTGCTAATCATTCTTGCTCTTGCTCCTTCTCCTGTACTTTGTACTCCCAATTGAATCTGCTTTATGTGATTCTCCTTCTCCTCTGCATATAGTTAGGTAGGTAGTTAGTTTCCACTCTTCATAGGTGTTCACTGCCTTGGAGTCAGAGTGCACAGCAGGTTGAGAATCAGTCTAATCTGGCCAGACAGTAGGGGGGATTTTTACAGAA